TGTCTTGTGAAGCACTCCTCAGCTGCAGTCCAGTCATGATGAGTTGACGGCAGATCAGCTGATGAACTCTGGATGTGATGATCTCATCAGGCTGTTATCTCTATAAGACCTTCTGTTTGCTCTGTAAGCTCCTCCAGGCTTCACTAAAGTTAACGAGCACAGTACTTTATGAAGACAGRTTCTGTCTAACACGGGTGTCTGAAGCAAGGACAAACCTCTGTATGTGGGCAGAGTCTTCTTCAGGTGTGAKGTTTCATGAAAATTCATCTCAGGCTGTTGTGAAGCACATCTAAGAATCACCGTTAAACTCTACCACATGTTCATTTCAAAGTGTGATGATGTAACGCTTTTTACGTTTCGACCTTTAATTATTCAGAAACTGAGTTAAGCTGCTTTCATGCCTGTTATTTCCCTTCTTTTAACCCAGCTTAAAGATCTTCTTTCACTCTGTCTCACTGCTACAGATACATTTGTTGCTAATCTTAAACTATATTCATTCAGTCATTGTGTGAGAGGTAGTGACAGTCACAAGTACACGGTTGTATTTAGTGTYTTTATGTGTAATAGTTACCTAATTACTCTCACGTGTTCACTCTGTCACATACTAGAAATGCTGACGTAGATCAGACAGAAACACGTCAGGAGAGGTGAAGAGTTTTAAACGAGCTGCAGGGATATTTCTCCACATCTGTAACTAAACACGTCAGAGCAGCAGCTTCAGGTTTTGTCAGACTAGTTAAGATGTAATATTTTTTTCTCCAGGAAAACCCAAATGTTGCAGTAATTTATTTGTTTTACAAAGGTCTTTATTTCAGTCAGAAATCTGTTTAGGATTTTTATTTATGTTGCAAAGTGATTCATTTTGGTAACAATAAGTATAAATCGGATCTAAAGGGTTAATTTGTAATTGAGCTGAACATGAGGCGGTTCAGTCTGTGCAGCCTTCAGTCACCACTTACAGCCACCACTGAGCACCATCAGAGCACTGCCACCATGTTCTCTGGAGAGTAGAGCTGGCAGTGTTAAAGTGGCCTGTGTCCATGTGTGTTTAGTTTAATACAGAAAGATGTTCGGCTCATATAAACACTCATCACAGCCAGACAGAACTGGATACACTTCCTCTCTGCTTTGGCTGCTTATTCTATACTTCTCTTCCTCAAACTAGAGCCGTTGTTTCTATTGAACTTCAATCACATGACATATATATA